CGAGCAGGAGCCAAGAGGAGAGAAAAGTCTTCTTGCAACAGTGCCAGCAGCCCTCACAACCACAAGCTGGCTGCAGATCACAGCAGCTTCTAGTTCTAGGAACGCAAAGCCCAGGTGATGCCCTACCTGTGAGATCTGGGGAGCCTGGAAGGAGATGCACCTGAAGGAAGGTGCCCTTGCAGGCTCAGTGCTGTGTTGGGGTCTGAATCAGCTCTGACACTTGACAGCAGCTCCAGCAAGGTCTGCAGCTCGCCTCTGAGGGGCTAAAACTGATCCTGCAACCAGTTTGTGACCACTAGCCTTAAACTCCTGATTCTAACAGCCTAACAGGGAAAAAAATAGAATGCCAAAAAAGCAGCTGGCCTGAAAGGGGCGAGGAAGTTGCAGGGTAGATGTATGGTCTCCAGGCACAAGGACACCTCACCTGCCTCCAGACTCCTGGGTGTTAGAGAAGGTCACAGCTGCTGCAAGAGCTCAGGGTGTAAAAGCCACTGGTGCTGCAGCAGGGCCTCTTCTCCTTCCAGCAGGTAATGCTTGAGATGGGTGCTGCAGAGGGCACGATGGACAGGGCTGGGGATGGACAGGGTCTCTGGAGCAGGGGTGGGCTGGCAGCCTCTGCACTGCCTGGACTTGCAGGGACACAGCAGCGATGGATAACTACTGTCCTTCTCAATATTGCCATCTAGAGGACCCAGCAAGGACAAGAGCTCCTTGAAGGCCGTGATGAGTGAGGGAAGAAGAATCAAACGCTTGCTTTTTAAAAAATGTTACCTCATACAAACGCTTCCCCAGCACGACATGGAGATGGAGAGCTGAGCGCACAGGACTGGCTGTGCCTTGGGCATGGGAACACAGCATTGCTCTAAAATCAGCCCCGTGGGGTTTTTGAGGCTGTACCTGCCCAGTGTTGGCCCACCTCCCAGTGCTCTCCTGATCACCGCGTGCGGTACGGTAGCTTCTCTGGAGGCTGTCCCTCACCAGCTCAAACAGAACTGAACTCATAAACCGCACTTCTTTTGAGGGTTTGCGTGGGTGAAGAGCTGCCAAAAGGCATTTGTTCCATGGCTAAACTACATCTTTGTTTGCTTTGGTTACAGGCCCAAGTACAGCCTAGGATGGGACTGGATGGCACCACACAGTGGGATTAGCAGTGTTGGTTCCAAGTGTCTGGATTTTGAGGTGTGAGAGTGCATAGTGGAACTAACATCATTTCATAGTCAGAAAATAGCCTGTCTCCTGTCCCACCTCTGGGACCTCCAGTAGCATGGGCCACCCAAGACCGCGCGAGCATAGAATCACTTTGGCTGGAAAAGACCTCTATGGTCATCAAGCCCAACCATGAACCTTACTCTACCAAATCCACCTCTAAGCCCTATCATGATGCTGGACAAGCTTTCCTTGTTTGCAGACTTGTGGTACTTTTGGGAGCTGCAGTCCATGCTTTGGCAAAGCCCAGTGTGAGAGCTCAGGCCTCACCACCCCATGTGAGGACCGTGGTCCCTTCAGAAAGCAGAACAGATGTCTCCTCAGCCAGCTGCTGCTATGGATGGAAGACAAGTGGGTTTAACTAGAGGGGCTATCCTCCTGCAGTGACACAGAGATACAAAGAATGTGTTTTCCTACTGTTCCAAAGGTGAAGGTTATCCTTTGTGAATAAAAACTCTCAAACCCAGATTCCTGAAGCTTCCAAGATGCCCTCTAGATTGAAGGGCTGTAAAGCATTTGAACAACAAACCTCATCAGCTGATCTGACAGCACATGGCACCAAAAACACAGTACAGGTGGAGGTGGAGGGCAGAATTGCCTCCAAAGGATGGCAGAGCAGCTGCAGTGAGCCCAACTGCAAATTCAACAAAAACACAGGACATAAAAGCCTTCAATTTTGCAAACACCCTTTAGCGATGCCTCTCGTGCAGGTCCACCCATCACCCCAGGGCATGTGTGAGTGAGCACCTACCCCAGCTGGGTTTTCCTGCTTGGGGAGGAGCCTGGGAGGTGCGGTGGCTTTTAGCAGATATCAGCATCTCTCTACTCCCCAGCAGCTGTTCCTGCAAGGGAGGACGGCCCCAGGGCTGGGCTGTGTATTGGGAGCTGGGGTGAAGGCAGGAGCCTGCAGCCAGCCCGGCTGCCCTCCAGCCCAGGGTGCCCAGCATCTGCATCCACAGCTCCTGCCTTACTCCCTGGCCAAAGGCCATGAACAAACTGGTCTGAGAAGGTCAAGTGGCATGTCATCACTTTGCTACAGATTTATTTCCGTGTGAATTAATGAAACAGTACACACAATTCCAGAGGAAAAAAAAAATAATCTTTTTATAGGCCCATAATCCTTCTTTCACAGTACAACGCAACAGTAAAGGATTTAGTCAGTGTAAACAGAAGGTCCAATAGTGATCATCAGTTATCACAGATCAGCTGCACAAACACCACAACCACAGAGTTAATGCCATTAACCACACAAATTGACAGTACCGGTACAAACCATAACTTCACCTACGGTGCTTTTTCGTGTGCAAGAACCATGAAAACTCAATTTACAGAAGGGCACCTTCTCTAAATCTTTGTAGGACCTGTAAACTGCCTCCTCAGTGCTGTCTTATCTATTTGGCAAAAGGTCTCTGTGCCTGACTCTCTAAGATACCCTTAACTTGGTTGCAGCACGCAAGCCATCAGGGCTCTGATCTGAAAACCAGGCACTTGTGTATTCTCTGCTGCAGCAGGACAAGGAGAATCATCAGCTGAGGATGAATCTGTGTCATTTATCAAATCACCCCTGAATCTCAGTTTGGATCCATTCTTCCACCAAGACTATTCAAAAAAGTCCTGGTTATATCATGCATGGATCACAGGATTTCACAGGTAACCCATACAATTATCATTTGTAATTTTTTTTTTTTTTCCTTTAATGTACTAACTGAACTGTCACCGGCATCAAAACCTGAGGCTTAGGGTGTGTTGGCAAGTTTAAAGAGAGTGGATAAATTATGGAAGTCGAAGGGTCAGAAGAAGAGAGCCAGCTTTGTAAATTGAATCCATAGTCAGATCACACAGGAAAAAACACAAGGCAGTTATTTATCATACCTCTTTGAAAGGCAAACCAAACAAAAACAGGATGCAGAAGTGATGCAGTAAACCTAAAGTCAACAGGTACCTACTTCTTTTTTTTTCTTTTCTTTTTTTTTTTTTTTAAACACATGAAGTTAAGTTACAGACATCATATAAAATGCACACTTTATGGAAATCCTGCATAGCAGGAAACAAAGAGGCTAGAGCTAATCCAACAGCTACGCCAACAGTGAGACTGCCACTTACCGGTGCAAGGAAGGTGCCCTGTCTAAAATAAACAGAGCACTTCTCCCCTTCTAGAGGAGTCCTATGGCAACACTTAACACATTTTGCTCAGAAGGGAAAAGAAAGCATTTTCTTGGGGATAAACTGCCAAAACAATTTGTTTCATATCTGTAAATTTAAGGCAATGTTACTTATACCTGAGAAAATGAAACAAATAAAAAAAAGTGTAAATTTATTTTCTCAACTCTACATACGCACTGGAAATTTGAGTATTCCTGTCTCCTCCAGCTCTCAGGTGGTGCTGGGGAAAACAGCCACGGGGACACTGCTCTGAGGTCTCAGGGTTGGAGCCTGAGAGATGCAGAGTTTGCTCCAACGAAAGCTGATGGGAGCTGTGAGTGCTCAGACTCACTCGGCTCTTTTTCATATATTCTCTTTTTGAACACCTCTGTTGAAGGCCTCTGGAGAGGGTTAACTCCAGAACAGGCCCGTAGTGCACCGGTAACCCTGAAAGGTTTGTATAGCAAAACTGCAGCTAAAATAGACATTAAAATTACATACAGTAAATTTCTGTGACTCTCCCTTTTCAGGAGAAAAAGAAGGATGTCAAGGTTAACAATTTCACTGCACCTTTAGCCATTCCTGTAACTACAGAGTAAATCCTTTAACACTAGTATAAAATCGCAAATTGTTCTGTGCTCTCCCTTGGAAAATAAAAATTAAAAACAAAACAAATCAACTTGCAAACATTTCCCATAAAATGGTAAGAGACATGAAAGAGATGGGGTGGGGATTACAGACACACAGCATGCTAAGGAGTTATTAAACAAAGTGCAATGATTTTTGACTATACAGGAGGACGGACGGACAACTCCCCTTCAGTACCACCTAGATGCTCAGTGCCTCTGGAGAGGTCTGGAGGTACCGTGTCAATCTGGAGCTGTAAAGCTTGTCTCTGAGGCTGGCTGGGCCCCACGGCCCCACGTGCAGCTGTGGTAGCTCTGCACATCTTTCCTATGTCTGCGGCCACACGAGAAGAGATCTGCTTGCACAAACACACCATCGCTTCCCAAACAAGAAATTAAGAGGATTTCGTGGCTGGTTCTAGAAAGCTGCTTGAGCCACCAATGAAAGATGGGCTCGGCCCTAAAATCTGTGCACGCCTGGTGTATTTCCATGGGATCACCTCCTTCTCCTAAACATGACCATGGACACGAACCACCCCTCCCTGCTGCTCCCATCCGAGCAGCCAGACACCCACAGTCCTTGGAATCAGCTTTGGCTGGTGCCTGCCATTAGCCTGCTACACCAGGGCTCAGGCAGAGGGTCATGAAAAAGAAGAAATCTCCCAGCTCCCAGCTCACGTTCCTACAAAGCAAACAAGTTTACTGGCTGCTGCCTGGCGAGAGGGGCAGTGGGCAGATTTTTCACTGTTATTTCAAATGTGACTATCCAAAGGTCAGAGCCAAAAAAAAAATAAAATAAAAATTAAAAAAAAAATCAAACCCCACCAATCCTCATCTGAATAGAAAGCGATTTCCACTGCTCGCCAGCACCTCCCAACCCTCCTCAAAGGATGGCCAGGGACTCAGCTCCCTTACTTACCCCGCTGGGAACTAAACCTCTCCTCAAATCACACGTTAAAGAAGCTCACTGTGTGCAAAAGACTCTTACGCTAAAACAGTTCCACCCTACACAGTGCAGTCAACACGGTTTTTAACTTAAATTTGCAGCTTGTTCTTTACAAGTGCTTGGCAGAGAATATTTATATTCTTCTGACACCATATAAATAATATTTATACAGCTTAGACATTTTGAGACATGCATTAGACTTTAGGTAGTACATATTTCTTGATCATATATGCAAATGTTACTGTCAATTAAACCGAGCAACCTTATGCTTGACCATGTCTTGTGTTCTCCAGGACGTTTGACGGCGGCTCCGAATCGTCCATGGGGAGGACCAGGCGCGTGCCCCGGATTACGAGTTCATGGTCCCCAAACGCCAGCTCCCGATCCAGCGCGTCCTCGGAGGGGTTCCCCGCGAAGCGCCGCGACGCGCCGCTGGACGCCACCGAGTCCGTGTTGACCGTGGAGTCCCCATAGGTCAGACTGATGTCCCCGTCGTTCAAAATGAGGTCAGAGTCGTCGTCCTTCAGCTGCTCTTGATTCTGGGCAACAAACGGGAGGGAGGTGCTGGGGGACTCTTCCTGCATGGCTACGCCCGAGATCGCGCGGTGGCACCGCATCACAGACCCTCCTGCGCCATGGCCAGATGGGCCGCAGACACACAGCTCCGAGCCCAGAAGACTCGCACAACATGCTCCACTCTCTGGGGGCTGCCTAAAAGGTCTCTCTTGGCTCTCCCTTCTGATGCCACAGCCACATATACGGGGCATGCAGCTCTGAGTGGCTTTGACAAGACTGAAATACCCATGACCATGTCCCCAGGAGCCACATCTACACATTTTCTGAACCTCTCCAAGGATGATGACTCCACCATCTCCCTGGGCAGCCTGTTCCAACAACTCACCACTCTTTCAGTAAAGAAATTCTTCTTAATATGCAATCTAAATCTCCCCTGGCACAACTTAAGCCCATCTCCTCTTGTCCTATCGCTATTTAAGCACTTGGGAGAAGAGACCAACCCACACCTCACTATAACCTCCTTTCAGGTAGCTTTAGAGAACGGTAAGGTCTCCCCTCAGCCTCCTTTTCTCCAGATTAAACAACCCCAGTTCCCTCAGCTGCTCCTCATAAGCCATGTTCCCAAGACCCCTCACCAGCTTAGCTGCCCTTCTCTGGACCCACTCCAGCCCCTCAATGTCCTTCTTATCCTGTGCTGCCCAAAACCGAGCCTAGTACCCAAGCTGTGGCCTCCCCAGTGCCAAGTACAGGGACATGATCACTTTCCTGTTCCTGCTGGAAAGAAGAAAGCAAGGGATGGTGAAATTGTGTGTCCCCCCATTTGGGCCTGGGGAAGGACAGCTGTGACAGCTTCATTGAGCCAGTCACTGAGGAACCAGCATGACGACATCCCAAAAACCTTCATGACCAAACAGTCAGCTGGAAAAGCAAAATGCTCATGGGGATTAGCTCACCCATCAGCCCCAGTATCTCATCTCCCCCTCAGGCTCCCAGCTCGATGCTGCAGAGCAGCATCCAAAAGCTATGCAGAAACATAAACCCACCAAACCCCACCAACGCCGTGGCAGGAAGGACACCGACAGACTCACCTCGTACGCCTGCGGACTCGTCAGGCACCGGGCAACAGGCCCACAGCACCCCGGGAGCGTGGTCGTCAGAGGAGGGCCGCTGTGTGTCAGCAGAGGCTTCAGATAGCTACAGAGGGGGTTAAGGAAGAAAGAGGAACAGGGCGACGTCGGTAACTCAAGGGGTGAGATGCAGAGCAGTGGCAAGGGACTCAGTGTCTCAAGAAAATCACAGGAAGAAACACAAATCTCTGGAAGCATAAAAATGATAGGGATGAGCAATGTGAAAGCAACCAAGTACAGCAGGACAGGAGCAGATCAGGGGACAGTCCCAGTAAGGCAAGGCTCAGCAGCACCCCTTGTCCCATCACCCTGTGCCTCAGCCTGGCAAATCGCCCCTCCACTAATTCACAGCAAAGCATCTGCACGGGAGGGAGGCACCGATCTAGCCAGAGGGCTACGAACAAACAGGTTCCTTGCCCTTCCTGCCCACGTGCCACAGGGATCGAGGCGGAGGCTGCGCTCCCAGCTGAGAGCAGGTGGAAGGGGTCCCTTCTCGCAGCCACGGACACACGGAGGCACAAATGAAGAACCAGCAGCGTGGCAGGAAAGCAACGTCTGGCTCCTGTGCCAGGCAGGGGCCGAGGGAGCCGCGGGGCAGCAGGACCGGGCACAGCGCGCCCACTGCCGTCCAAGGATACTTGTGGTCGAAGTTGTACCAGATGCGGAAGAGCCAGGCGCTCTCTGCCTTCGTGCTCCTCCTCTCGCTCTCCGGGACGCCCTGCGGGAGAGCGGGACATTGAACAGAGGCAGGGAACATGCCGCAGCCTGCGGCGGGACCAGGAGCCCCCACGGGGCAGCGGGTACCCCCGGGGGACACGAGAAGCCGTTCACCTTCCCACTGCCTCTTCAGAAGAAGCCTTCGGGTTGCAGCAGGCTTAAGGACACTCACACCAGCACAGGCCGCGGGTGCTGCCAGCACCACACTCTGCATTTAGCAGCGTACAACAGCCGTAGGGAGGTGCTATCAAAGCAAAGAGCCTTTTTCTGGCAGAGCCTTCCAGTTTCTGGCCCCAAGGTTTAAAGCACCTCAGAGCCAGCAGCTGCATCCAGACATCACATTTAATAGTGACTGACAGGTCCAATCTCCATCAAACCTTGCTGGAGATTTTTGTATGCAAATGTGTTACAGGATCTCTTGGCTTCCTTTTAGCCAGAGAAACAAAAACACAAAACTCTTTGGAGGGGACTCTGAATGCAGTTACATATTTCACAGAAATTTGGCTTTCAGACTTATGGCTCTGGGCTGCCTTTAGCATTTGACACTTTCTCTCCTGGAGGTAAAGAGCCCAATAAATGGCTCATAATAACATGTAATCTCCGAAGTGCAGAACCCACACTGAAATCAAGCACAAGTGCACTGGCCACAGCCCCAGCACAACTGAGCAAGACAGCTCAGGGCTACCAGGCAGGAAAACTCCCAGTGCTGCAGGGCTCCAGCATTTGTGTCAGTGTGGTTGGTGGTTCCTAGGCTGCCACATAACTACCCGCAGAAAACTGGGGGTAAAAGAGAGGTTGAAGGTACCTGTGTGTAAAAGTGGGATGGAACATGCTACATAAAATGGGTCAGTAAATGGCCCTTCTGTACTGCCTTGGACACCAGGATGAGGCAGAAAGCCTCCATGTCATAGAATCATAGAATGTTAGGGGTTGGAAGAGACCTCTAGAGTAATCACCTAGCCCAAGCCCCCTGCCCAAGCAGGTTCACCTAGGGCAGGCTGCACTGGAACACATCTAGGCGGGTTTTGGAAGTCTGCAGAGAAGGAGACTCCACAATCTCTGGGCAGCTTGTTCCAGTGCTCTGTCACCCTCACAGAAGTTTTTCCTCATGCTGAGATGGAACTTTCTGTGTTCCTGTGTTCTATACCTATGCACATTTTGATACTTATCTCGGACTCGGCAAGGGAGAGACTGAATATCATCATCATCAAGTGATGCAGCCTGACTAAGCAGCCCAGGGTTACTGCTATGCCATTCTTTCACACACAGTGAAAGGAATCCTCATTCTAACCACAGAGGGCACAGGAAAGCCATGACCCCCACTGACTGCAGACCGTCACCAGAGGAGCTGAAAACCCTCCTACTGCACAGATCCACAGGGTCTCGGTGTATCCCCTGCCCCTAAGAATACAGCACAAACTCCTCTACGGAGGCTGCCCGGCAGCAGCACACTCACCACGTTCTCCTGGTCTGCGTCCACGCCGACTCTGCGGAGCAGAAAACAAGCACGGGGTTAGCACCGCGTGCCGCTGCCAGGCAGGGGAGGACGTGATCCTTCTCTGAACACCCAGCACCTCAGCGCAGGAGCAGGGTGAGGGAGAGCCCCGCGCACGCCGCACTCACCGGATGTTGAGGCAGGACAGCATGGCTGTGGTGCCCCCTCCGAAGACCCACACCGTGAAGAAGACGATGAGGAGCGTGGTGCTGAACATCATCTGCCGGGCGTAGGTGGCCGTGTCGCGGATGGCCAAGGCGAACGCCATGGCTCCTCGCAGCCCTGCCGGAGCCACGGCC